ATAGCTCCCTTTAGAGCCAATGCGGTCCGAGATTCGTCCTCCTCCGCGGCGGGCACTGCCACCACCTCGTCGCGTACGAGGGGGGCGATCTTCTCGTCCAGCAGGGCGCGGAGCGCGGTGTCTGCATGCTCCGCCACCAGTCTTTGGTGCCGTTCGGTCGAGGCAAACCTGGACGACCTGAGGTAAATCCTCAGCGAGGAAATCCTCCATCCAGGTTTGTAGTCGCGAGAGTAACGCGTCGTACAGTACTTGTACGCGGTTCCCCCCACCAGCTGGTAGCCCGGCGGTGGTGTCCGACACGGAAGGGGTCTTCTGGCCCCTGGTAGACAGCGGGCGTAGCAGGGCTTCCGGATTGTCGATCCGGGGGCGCTGTGCGCTTCTGCCACTGCGGGTACTTGCTCGCCTGGAGGCGGTATCTTCTCCGGCGGAATCTGCACGGTTCATCGTCGATGATCACTGGCGATCGACGCGGTGATTTTTCAACCTCTTTCAATCCGATCGGTAATTGCTCGCGCTGGCGATCCAGTGCGGGCTCAACCTCTGTACTTATACCCTCCACAAGAGTACCAAAATGTGGTATAGCTACCTTCGTCCCGACCACTCGGAACGAGGGGGGGTTAGAGGTAAGGGAGCGCGCGACGCTGGGTAACCCACGCGAGCGCAAACCGTACGGAAGGACTCGAAAAGAGGGAAGGCTCACGTGGCCGGTGACGTGCCGCTGGTCGGTGGTGTCAGATCCGGTCACGGGTTAGAAGCCTGAGACTTAGAGGTAAAACCGGACGGAGTTAGCAAAAAGCCGTAAAGGGAAGGGGGGCGAGTCTGCCCCCGTTTACTGGAACGAGGCAGGTGCCCCCGGTCTTAACCCCTAAGTGGGACGCCAGGACACCTGTCCCGCTACAGTAGCTGTTACTTACTGTATACCATCTACTGTGCTAAATTGGCTAATTTGTGCCATTAACTACTAATAACTAGTTACTTACCGTTCGGATCCTACACGTGTAACCGGCGGGGTACTACTGTACTCCGCACCGGCCGTGTGCTGTAAATATAACTCCTTACAGTTCTTCTCGCGCTTACAGCCCATCGCACTGTATCCCGGGGCGGCAGCGGTGGCGCGATTGCCTTCGCGCCGTTGTACTACAATAGAGTTGCTAGACAAAAGGTTGGTCTTGCTCGCGGAGGTATTTCTGGAGCAGTACCGCCTCTGATTTGCCTGATTCTACGGATTCGGAGAAGATATCCACCCGTTCCTGCACTCTTTCGTACGAAGCTTGGAGGTAGTGGTGCAGAACAGAAAAGGCCTCATTAGCGGCTTGAGTGTCTCCAGTGGACAGCGCCTCTGCCACTTTGTGGGAAGCGTCGAGGGCGTTTTCCGTATCGTAACTGATGTTCCAGAGAACCTCAGCTTCCCAACCGTCCCTGGTGTCTGCGTTCTTGATTCGTCCAAGCAGCTTCTCAGATTCAGGGATGAAGCACTTGAACGGGAATGCAGCCAAGTGAGTGGTTTTTAGAGCGTCCACAGCAGTGGGAGGGGTCAAATTCATATTCTCCAAACGTGTAATGATTGCGTTGGTGCTTCAATCACGTTGGATTTCAGAGTCCAACTAAATTTAGAATGGACCGCCTCCCTTCATATGGGCACCCCACCGGTCAGCACTACAACTTTACGGTGAGGTCCCACACTCACCTCGCACTCCCTCTCCATCTTCGCGAGACCAACCACCAATACCAACCAGTTGGTTGCTACTCGCAGTGACTATGCCCACGAAGGCACAATACGCCACATGCTCTACGAGACGCTTCGGACGAGCTTGAACTTGCCGCTGTCTTGTGGTATCAAATGCAAACAATGGGGGGGGGAAGGCGGGAGAGGGAGGGGGAGGGAGGCATTGCGTGTCGAGGGTAGGATGCGCGCAACGGAGGCAGCAGCGCGCATTCGGACGTGCACGCTTCGGGCGGGCGGCGCGGGCGGCGGGGATGCGCGCGCTTTGAAAGGGATGCGCGCATCGCTGCTATTTTCTGGCTTATGCCACGCTTGGAGTCTTCAGATGATGCGACGTAGGCTTCACAGGCGCAGATGTTCTCTTCATTGCCCCATTCCAGCCCAGCACCCATTGCGTAAGACCACGATTGTCCTTAAAATATGGATGTGTATTAAGTTGATGAAGGTTGTTGACGATGTGTTGCGAAAAGGAACAACACATCGATACGGAATTATTACGATAGAGCTTTCTCAGGTATAATGGTAACAAAGGGTTTGCTTTCGTTCATTTTTGGCCCGAAGAGTGCGGGGAATTGGCTAGATCCAGGCCGTAAAGGAGAGGAATCGTTTGGGCTACAAGAGTTCCAGCTCATCGAATGGTTGGGAGTCTTGTCGTCAGGGTGGTTCGTGGGATCAGGATTCCAGGACACAGAAGCGGGACTCCCATTTCGATTTCTGTTTGAAATTGGGTTGGACCTGCGTATTTTGAGGTCCAATCTGGCATTGTTTGGACCTCAAAATCAGGATGTCCAATTCAATTTCATTTTTTGGATTGGAACTCTGTTCACCGGTGGGGCTGAAAATTGTGCAATACAGTCCAAATTTTGGATTGGACTCGATTTTTACTACCGCTGTGGACGTTCTTAGAAGAGGTTGAGTTGACCAGTTTCCCCGTATACCTGACGTGTAGAGACTTGATCAGCGATCCTTTGAGCAGACGGAGCGGGAAAAGTAAAGTGAAGTCCTCGATCGGCGTAGAAAGTGTGCTGACGTGAGGTGTGGATGGGCGGGGCCCCCGGCAGGATCCTAGCGCCCGGTTTCTCTGCGGCCTGCGGAGCCTGCGGAGCGGCTGGATTTTCTGCGGTAATGGAAGTAGAGCCCGTACCAGTGGGGCGTTTCTGAAGCAGCGAGAGAATTTGAGCGACCTGCGATTCCAAGGAGTCGATATTGCTATCGAGAGCAGCGGAAGGAGGTCGACTGAGGGAAAGATGGTTTTCCAGAGTTGGGGCAGGCCCGAGATGCCCGATGATCCATACTGAGAGTGTTCTTCTTCAGCATTAGACATAATGCGCGATGTTGTTGATAGCCGGCCGTGACGATGATCCATCTGGAGCTTGTTAAGTCGTGAAACGAGACCATGCGACGACTTGAAGAAGAGAGAAGAGAGGTGGAAGAGTTCGAAGTACCTCTCTTATACAGCCCTGTTTTCGGCCAGTGGTCACTTTCCAATTCTTCTGAGGTTTTGTTACGAGAACGAAGAAGCAGTTTTCAAGTCCTACTGTAAGTTCCAAGCTAGCGCCAAGGCATATTGTGGGACTTTTTCCCCAGTCATAGTATGAATAGTGACTTGTTCCCAAGTCATAGCGTAAACGGTGATTTGGAACTGTTCAGCTGGAATGGTCCACTTGTAAAGTAGAAACCCCTTGGGAAGTGCAATTAATCGGGTTTTCGCTTCTGATGAGTTGTCGCGCGTTCAACCGAAAATCCCCCTTGTCCAGATTCACCTTTCAGTTGCCAATGAATGCACTAAATCCCGTTTGGATCATCCACTGTGGTAGCAAGAGGTGACAAGCTATGAAATAGAGAGTGCTGCACCGTTGGCCATGGCCTACCTTTCCTAATTCATCCTTAATTGCCCAACTGCTTCTGTCGGCCAACCATTTGATTGTGGTGGTAGTTATGGCGTCAATGCATTGGACTAATGGCCTCCTCCATTTCACAACGAACAGGCGGGATTTAGCAATCTCGATGTGATCCTCATCTGATACCCCGGTGGGCGTTGACGAGCAGACACACGTGTAAACCCAGTAGGAAGTTTTGTTCTGCGTTAACTTCCATTGGCTTGTTTTTGCACATATTTTAGGATGCAAACTAGCCGACCAATTACTTTGCATGACTTGTTTTTCAGAGGCTGATGGGCAGTGACGCTACACTCCACATTCCACTTGAATTAACTTATCGCTTGTCGGAGAGGATATGGTACACCGCATACTGTTGTCGTTCTAGTTACTGACCATACCAAGTCACTTGAGGAACCACATCACAAGCAGAAGAACATCTCCATCTGGCAGCATCTCTCAGCAACACCGGCAAATACGATCCATTTTGAAAATGGCTTTTGTCCCTTCATCAATTTTCGGGGCCCCTCTATCCCCCAAGCCACAAAGCTCCCCAATCCGCTGTACTAATCCACGTTCGTCTGAGGTAACTGCCATGGCAAATGGCCCTAGCTGGAGTCCTTTCATATTTCGTGGAGATGATAACGACAATGAAGACCTCAACCACAAATACAAGCCATTCGACGGGACCATGCCTCTTCTCCCACCTTGGCATCCCCCAACCATCGAGGCCGATTTTCGCTACAACGCGCAACGCATAGTGTCAAGAGAAGCCGAAGAGCCCCTCAAGAAGGTTGTAAAGATAGAATGCGAAGGCCATGGCACTATGTTCGCTGAAGTTGTGCAAGAAATCGGACCTCAAAGTGCCAGGGAAGGAAAACAGGCGAAGCCGAGGCGGGTGTGGCTTCGACCTTTATTGCTTGACCATTTAGACACGTTTATGGATTTGAGAGGCGGGACGGATCTCGTGCTTGACGCTGCAAAGGTCGCAGACGTTAGCAACGAGACCCGCACAAGAATCACGGCCAATCTCGCAGCGATAGAAGGAGATATGTTGTCAAGGCAAGAAGCCTCGGAATGGAGATGGCAAGATGCGACTTCCACTGCTGTAATCAATTTTGTCAGGGATTTATCGGCGTCGGAAGAGAAAGAGGATTAGGCCGAGCTGGTGAACCTGTTATAATAATTCTTTAAGTTCTTGTTTATTGTTTGCCTAGGGAGACTAGTGCTAGCATGCAGTGATGCATATGTGCGGCATGGGATTGAGCATATTGAAGAGGACCTCCTCCCGCGACGTGAGTGTAGCTTACTAAAGAAAGTTGTGCGCCCGTCTTTCTGCGAGGTCCCGTTCCTCAATTGCGGATATATTGTTAAGAGCGCCTTAGGTTTGCAGTGTTTCAATGCGCGAGAAAAGCGGAGACACTGATGCGGTATACCTTGGGGAAGTGGGATGGAGCTGGACCTTTCCCTACCAGCGAGATGTGAATGAAGGGAAGGGAAGTGGGCCATGCCCTTCAGTGCTGTCGTCCTGGGTGAAGCGAAGTGTGCGTGAGGACACAAGATCGTGTTCCGTCCCAGAACCTTCACTCAGGACACATTTATCCACCGGTGAAGAACGAGCCATCGCAAAAAGACAGCGGAGTCGTACTGAAGAGAGCTGATCGAGGCTTGCTACGAAGCCACAACGCCGGTACCTGTGGTTGACGTCAAGTGCATGTCATGCCACGGTTCTCAATATTTCAACACTATAAATATCCTCATGAAGTGCGTGCAATGCGGCGAGATCGGCTAGTCTCCGCGACGACTTCCCCAAACAGAAACGAAGTGTTGCAGGGGACAAAAAAAAAAAGCACGGGAGATTTGCCTCGACATGCGACTTTTTCGTAATTTTATTACTATTTCCTAGTAGTAATAAAATTACGAAAGAGTCGCAGGGACAGCAGCACGGCAGTCGCACGTGCTCAACCTCGTATGCGTGAGTTTCAAGCAAACGCCTGACTTCGCGTAACGAGCTTCAGGCCTTGGCCAACCGCACCAGCCAGCTGCACAATTCAAATCGTATTTTGGTTGACATGATTACCTCATGAGGATGAAAGCTTGATACTGATTTGCCTTGGCCCCAACCGACAACTCACAACGAGGATGCAAAGCATTGCACGCCGTTTATTCAGAATGAGAAACCTGCTGAGAAGGCGCTGTCATACACGCAAAGCCAATCCTGGGGATTTGAAAGAGTTTGTCCGAGAGTATTCCCGACGGGAGCATATGCCCCGGAGCCATCTACACCGGAAAGAGCAGAAGCAAAATGGTAGCGACCAGCGAATGTTTTCAACTGTTCTGTGCAAGAGAATACTGGACTCGAGCAATGACAAATGCCTCCAAGTGAAACTTTTGGCCCCCTTTTCTACTGTACAGCACCCCATCACAAACAACCGGCCTCGGCAACAGGCGACGAGAAGAGTTGCAGGCACTCAACTGCACCCATAGCAGTGCCTGTCCACGTCTATTGCCTGTATAGCTCTTCGCGACTATTAAGAAAGGAAAGAGAAACAGCACTTGACGAATTGAAAAAAGAAAAAACATGATCAGGAGGGGTGAAGGATGAAACTTATGTTGAGATTTCATCAAATTGCCATTTCTGCCTTTGGCGGTTGTCGCCAACGCCTGACTTGTCACAGCCCAATCCCCGTCGACTTTTCGCCATCTCGCTTTTTGGTTAGCTGAAAGCTGCCCCCGCTGCACGCAACGGTCACAATTTGGTGAGGCTTGGAGGGCTGCGATTTAAGGCGTTAGACATCCGGGAAGGCTCCAAATCCCCGTGCTGTGACTGGGACGACATCAAGTGACTCGACAATCGTCCACACGCGTCAGAGGAATACATAAATTCTCCGTCACAGGGTATCCACCGTGCTTCCCACCTCTGTTGCCGAAGAAAATGTACAGAGCAATGGTGTTCTTCGAAGTACATGTGAAAGGGGTAATATCTACCCGAGTGGTTTCGACAGCAGGATTACACCAACCTGTCATCCGAGAAGGAATCTACCGTGACGTATGCTTCAGGCATGTTCATGGTTACTTCCTCTCCTGTAATCAGTCCAACGATACGAAGTGTTGGAGAGGCGTTTTTAGTCCACTGGTGTTGGGTTCAAAGGAATTCGAAGTGAAGATTCCTGATCACCCAACTTTGTTTGGCGTAGCCATTCGATCCAAAGAGCGCAGGTCAGGCGTCACAGTCTCGGGGGCGAGGTTGGTTTTGAACTGCGCCGCAGTCAATCATGACCTTAATTGCCTTTGTGCCCCTGTTGAGGGCACACTCCAGAGCTAGCTCCGCGTCTATCATTTTGAATCTATGGGTGACAAGCCGCTTGAGATGAACTTTTCCAGATGCGACTAATTCCAGGGCAGTGGGATACGTGTTGCAATACCGGAAGACGCTTCTGAGCTCAACTTCTTTCACTGAAGCCTCTAGTATTGGGAGACTGACTTCCGGAGCACCCATCCCAATGAGCACAACAACGCCACCTCGCTTGGCACTATAGACGCATGCTTTCATGGCTGACTCGACTCCTGTTGCGTCAAAGCATATGTCTGCTACGGTTCCTTGGACAGACATTTTGGGATCGCTTTCTGAGTGGGTAACAATGACTATGTCGGCTCCCATCTCCTTGGCTACAGAGAGGCGGTCGGCGTCGACATCAATGACAGTAGTATGTGAAGCACCCATAGCCTTTGCGACTAACAATGTAACCAGACCAATAGTTCCAGCTCCGGTGATAAGGACGCTATCACCAAGCTTGAGGTTAGCTCTTCGGCATGCGTGGATGCCGACAGAGAGGGGTTCAAACATAGCAGCCTCCTCGAAGGAG